ATCAACATTCTATTTGCAAGTCAAGACTTTCAAACATCATCGGCAAAGAAAAATGGATCTATGTTTATGCAAAAAAAAAAAAAAATATGGTTGTCATTTTGATTTATGCTGACATAATAATTGTATATGTTTTTTGAAACTTTAATTGAATTGTAAGCTGAATTGAATTAACATAATAAATAAGTGTTAAAGATTAAAAAAAAAGTACTATCATATTGCCAATTCATTTTCGGTATTTCGTTGGCTAATAGCTTACCACCTCGATAAATTCAGATAAATACTGTGATCAGTGCCCCGATTAATTAAAACTAATTTAATTGCAAAAATATTATATTAAAAAAAAAAACAAACTCAGTAAATGCAGATCCGTAAAAATGTTTTTCAAGGGGGGGGGGATCCAAAAAGTTTAAAGAGTAAAAAGTAATAAATAAGGCGAAACTGCCAAAACTCGTCCTTCATCGTGGGAGGTGGGGCGATGTTTACTTTAGGATCTTTCTTTAACTTTTCAGTCATTTTTTTTAATGCAAGAACTTGTCTGAGTTGATGATACTGCAAAAAAGTATGTGTGTGTTAGGGAGGGGGGGCATTCAGCCTATAAATGAATTTTTCATACTAAAACAACTGCAAAAGCTTATTCTCTACACAGGTGGGGAGCCCAACCTTCCGCCCCCTCGTACTTCAGCCCTGTGATTTGTTGAAGTAACGATTTTTTTCTCAGTTCTACTTTTAAAAAATGATTTGATGACAATATCAATTTAAAGATTCCTGATATTTGTGTAACATAAGCGGATAATCAAAAATGGCAGTCATATTTATCATCTTTCAAACATCAGACTCCGGGGCCATGAAAATAAAACGAGCTCACTTTTCATCTCAGTCTCACTATTGCCAAAGGAATTAATAGTAGAAAAGTGAGACTGAGATCAAATGTGAGTTAACCTAAGTTTTATGGCCCCGGAGCCAGGTCCGTAGGCTGTGAGTGGGGTGAACTAGCCAGTATTCACAATAAATATACAATGAAGCAATTTCCGTTTTAATCCCCTCAATAATTTTGCCAGTAAATACATAAGAAAAGAAATCAAGGCTAATTTATCGTTGTGCCATTTCAACAGTAATGTCTGATTTATTGGGGGGAAGAAATTAATTCTGTCAAGAAATTTTTGTTTGGTGCCCCCCAAATGAAATTGCATCCTAAGGGTCTGAAAATGAGAGAAAACAAGCAAAATTGATATCATATGATTTTTAACACTAAAAAAATTATGTTCCTGGGAAATATTTCTACCTTTCGTAGACTGTTCGCGCAATCTCTGTGTACATGTACATAAAAGGCCGTAGCGCCCCTTTTCGTTTTAATTTCATTCATGCAGATTCCTTAATTTAACACTCTAAGTCCCACTTATTCTTATAATTCAAACTTTTGTTTCTGCTTATAGGTGTAAAAAAAAAAAAGAAGATTAAATTAGGTACAGTGCATAGTGAAACATAATTTAAAATAGAATCAAAATACGAAATGAAGCAAAATTGTAAATTAAGATAAAATAAAGTACACGTATAAAATAAAATTGGAAAATATAAACAAGAAGTTAGAATTAAAATAACAAAAATAAACAATTTTTATTTATTTTGGAAAAAAAAGTTGGAATAAAAATAGAAAACAAGCTAATTCAGAGACTTTGTGTCCCCCGCTTAGGGAAAAAAGAAGGGCATGCGCAGTTCGGGGCGGGGGGGGGGGTGTCGGACCCCCCCCCCTTGATTTGTAGAATTATTAAATGTAAAAAATGCCAATATGGATATAAGATTTGATTGCTTATTCTTTAATATGTGTATAGAAGATTCTTTTTTATATAAAATATTTATCACACTGTAATAATGTTTTTATGAGTCTGTACAAGCCAGATGTCATAACTTTTTCATTTCACATGCTGAATACTATCATTTAGTAAATCAAAAAATAAATAAATAAAGAAAAAAGGATCATGCGGGATTTGAACCTTTTGAACCTTTGGATGTTAAGCGAGAGTCATACCCCTAGACCACGGAGGCACTTGAATAAGTAGCAAATTAAATGCAAACAGTAGGTCACATATAATGTTTATATTCACGTCCAATATTGTCAAAATTTTACACATTACATGGTGTCTAATTTAGCCTTTACTAAACAGTTCTAATAGATGTAATAAGAATATAAAGTCCTCCGACAACCTGTATTATACGTAATAACTCTCCACATGCCCCTGTGCTAAAAATAGTGCCAAACGACTTTTAATACAATAAATAATAATAATAAAAAACGGGGCGGGACACTTTGAGAGGGTTGAGAGAAGCCCTAGGGAGTTATGGTATAAAATTTCATTGCAAAAGCTCAAAAGCTTCTTGAGATATCGCACGGAAACGAAAGTGTTACACACAGACGGAAGGTAAAAATTTACGACCTTGAACTTTGACCTTTTGACCTCAAAATCGATAGGAGTCTTCCTTAGGCCACAGGGAGTTGTATTTTATTAATAATATATGTTTTATTTCATTGCAAAAGCTCAAAGGATTCTCGAGATATCTTTCAGTGAAAGCGAGGGACAATAAAACATTCAAAAAGAATTGTGGTACTGAAACTCCTCTATAGTTTCTCATTATTAAAATTCGAACAAACGTGTAAAGAACTGCGAACGATAGTATTGTTCTCCCGCCTACCTCCAAGTCATTTTTCAGAAGTTAACATATTTGAATGATTTTTCATACTTATATAGATATTTATATGAATTTTCATAAAACATTACTTCTTTGAGAAAACAAAGAGAGATATTTCTATAATGTTGGTAAAACTTGTGTTTTTTCACTATAGAAATCAACGGAAAACGGAAAATATTTTTAAAACATCTCCCTCCCCCCCGGTGAAACAAAAATTCCTTTTTACAGGTAATATGGACTGTCATTTCACAAACTCATACCAAAGCTTTTTGTGTTTCGGGGGGGGGGGGGGCTTATGTTTACAGACAAAAAACTACCAAAAAACGCTTATTTTTTCACCAATTTCAAGGGGGGTTACAACTGAAACATTGTATTTTATTAATAATATATGTTTAATTTTATATGCGTACATGTAAAACATAAGAAACGATTTAAGGAACATTTTTTCATATCTAAGAATATTTTAAAATGTGGTGATGCCTTTAAGACCGATTTCAACGGAAAATATCGTCTACCCCCTTATCTAAAGAGCTGGAATTAGGGGTAATTAACTACTTAACACTGGCACATTAAATTTATCAGTCAATTACCATTGAACTGTTCTTTGCATTCAACAAAGATTTTACGGCCAAATTGCCATTAGTATTGAATTAAATGGGTGTAAAATGTAGGCGGGTATCGAGAGTTAGCGTGCATAGTTCTTTACATCTTTACAAGTGTTTTGTTCAGAGCGCGGCAACATAGATTCCGGAAAGCAAAGTTTACAACATCATTTCAACATTATCAACAATTCACATATTCATAGTATAAACTCAAAGTGAACACAGTTGTATGTTCAAAACTACATGCTAGGTTGTCCGACTTACCTACTTACATATGTAGACTATAAAACTGATTTGATTGCATGATCAGATTTACAAACCTACAAGTCTGGATTTTTTAACAATAACCCTCCATAGATTATTGGCAAAGCCAATTAAAAAAAACAACAACAAAAATTGTCGTTGTGTCTTTTACAACCTATAGTTCAGGATATGCAGTGACATATTATCTCTGAAAGTAATAAACACATCCAACAGATGGGAATTGGTCAGAGAACGCAAAATAATGATGCAAAAGTCACTAGGCCATCACTGTTAATAACAGCTTTTTTCTGCTCAAACTTTTCTTAAAATGCAATACGAGAAAGGTATCACAATTATTTCTTTAAATTGTTAACTTAATTAAAATAAAGAACACTTAAGATCAATTAAGTAACCATAAATTGACCATAGAAACTCCCATCCTATCCCCCACAAAAAACACGGACCCCCTCCCTCTTTAAGTTGGTAAGAAATTATTTACGATCTTAACAAAATGAACACTAGTGATTTTTAAAAAAGAAGTCGTATTTGCAGAAACCGAAAGAAATTAATAGTATTTAATTTCATCACATTATCAAACGGAGATGTCTCGATTCATATCATAGCATTTCATGGTCCTATTTTAAAGACGGGTATTCATTTGACTTAGTCGGCTTGTCGGTTTATGATATTATAAGGAGGAAAAAATAGAAAAAGCTCTCTTAAATTTCATAAATCATCACTGGAGAAAGAAAAACTCGAAATTTATAGAAATGTACTTTATAATCTTGTAAGTTTTTCTTAGCGTTTGGACTAGATAGCTGTACGGTTTGTATAAATAACATTCCTTACTAGGAAAACTGTTAAGTCAAACAGTTTAGGAAAACTGTTCAGTCAAACAGTTTATCAACTTGTCTACATAACTATATATTTGCTGGTGTGAAACTCACAGGTCACAATAATTAGGAACAGTAACAAATTTTGGACAATCTTACAAATCGTTTATACAAACACAAGCTTTCCTTTAGCAGAAACAGAAAGAATTTGCAAACTGAATTACGAAATAGGTTTAACAGGTTTGGGTAAGTTGTTCACGTTTGTTTTTTATCTGCTAGTCAACAAATTTCCGAATCTGACATGTGGACACCCCTGGAAAAAAAATCTGGATCCGCCCTTGCTTGCAAATTGTGTGCATTGAGCCAGGAACCATACAACACACTGTTTACCAAAGTCAGCCTTATATAGTCATTTGAGTAGGTTTGCATTACAGAACAAAAGAGCAAATGTAATTTAAATATCAACACCTCTGTTTAAATCTCTTAACTCCTGTTGAATACTTAAACTGGTTCTCTGCTCCTACTTCTAGACACTACCGCTAAGGCTATCTACTCAGGGATTGACTTGTAACCAATGGGTACCAGTCTACCCCTATATATCAAAACACAGACGTACATTGTGTACTTAGTTTGAGCTATGGAAAATGAGGCGAATCTTTCTCAGGAAGCATACCTATTGCTTCAAATAGAGATTGGCACTCCGAGAGTAGTGGATATCAGGAGACAAATTAGGGACATTGAAGAAACTATCTATAATTCCGCTTCATCGACTGTAGAATTACCCTTTAGAAGACATCCTACATTTTTCCGAGTGTCGACTGGAAGCCAAAGGGAAGGATTTCGATTTGAAAAATCCGACGACGATTATCTTTACTGGTGGACTGACCACAAAGTTATTTATAGCCCAAAACAAGAAAACCTATACAATAAAGAAACATTGATCATGATGGAGTATTGTAAAGATAGTCCGGGATCCGTCCTCCTGAAAGTCAAAAAGTGGTCTGATTGGCCTATTGTTCGTGCTAGTTATGTCACATTGGGGAAAGGAACCTACATGTCAAGTTCTAAGTATAGAAAATCCACTCTAAAATTAGTTGTTAAAAATTCACAAGAACATGGACCTTGTGCAAGCGGTCAGTTGGATAATGGAGTTGACTTTGACAATGCTCATGCATTGAAATGTGATTTTCTTCCAGAGGTAGCTTCTTCATGGATAAAGCGTTGTGAAACAAAGGGTTGGCCTGACTCTACCGTATTGCAATATGCCAGAAAAACAGGCTGTCATTTTGTTCCAATTGGTCGTAAAAACTCACCAAATCAGAAATATGAATGGCGAATTTCCTTCAATCTTATTGAATTGAAATGTGTACACTCCATGAGCCATGTTCAGTTTACTTGTTACGGACTATTCAAGATTTTTCTCCGCAAAGTAATCAAGCCAATGATGGATGATAAAGACCTATTGTGTTCCTACTTTTTGAAAACTATAATGTTTTACATGATACAAGAAAAGGAAGAATCATTTTGGTCTCCAGAAAACTTGATTAATTGTTTTTGGAATTGTTTTGAACATTTAATATGCTGTATATATAAGGGCAATTTACCTAACTTTGTCATTCAAGAAAACAACATGTTCCATGGTAAACTTGTGGGTAGTTCCAGAGAAAAGTTGCTTGAAAAACTTTTTTTGTTATATAGCAAGGGCTTAGCATGTTTAAGTCCGTGTATCTCTAAAAAGTGCATTTTTCTGCGAAAATACATCACTATTTCTTACGCATTGAGGAATTTTACTACAGATTTCAATTTATTCATGGAGGTTAATCATAAAGTAGGATTGTACTTGGAATTTGCTATATTACCGTACCTGGAATTTTATATGCTCACCATAAACAAACTTCTGCAAAAGGAAACCTTGACTCCTGTTCAAATGATAGCAGTAAGACAACATGTTTGTACGATGTTTACTCACTTGGCATTTATTGTAATGAATCACGAAATGACAAATGATTTTTGTAAATCTGGTGACTTGCTGGAGATTGCAGTCAAACATGGGTTTCTATCAGACAATCTTTTTTACGGGATGTATCTTTACAGAAAATCAAGATTTGAAGAAGCACTAAGCTTTTTAAGAAAGACAAAGAAAGATCTAAAACAACCTCACGTTTTATATATACATGGCCTTTTCAAAAAGACTGAGTTCATGAAATATGGTAAAGGCAAATCATGGTCTACAAAGCTTAGAGAAGCTGTGGCTGTAGATATTGGTCTTTCTTCTTTTGTCAAATATTTAGATGAATTAGGAATAGAAAAGCATGTGACGTGCGTAGAAAATAAACATTTTCATGTTCCTCCATACGTATTGACACTTTTTCTCATTGTCCTTTGCAACGTACGGCTTGGAAACATAAGATGCCGAGAATATGCCATATGCGAACTGAAAGATTTACTTGATAATGATATAGGGACATTTGTTCCAACATATCTGAAAAACATTTCCTGGCAAATACTTGGGATATGTCAACAATTGTCCGGTGATTACACTAGTGCATTTGAGTCTTTTAAAAAATCACTGATTCATACGGGTTCTTGTATGATTACTAGAGCTACCTTTATCAGAATGCTAGCTGTTGTGTCCGATTTACAAAACAAAACCAGTTAATTTAGTCTAAAATGTCCCAAATATCACCATTTAAAAAGTTTTTGTTCTTATCAAGAACATGCGGTTTGGATACGGATATAATAATCGATCAATTTAAATGAATAACACGCCTAAAATTAAAGACATACCAAATATACACTTGTAATAACAGGGTGGTGGTAGGTGTCGGAGTGTGCTTACAACTCTTTTTATCTAATAATTATGAAATTTAATAGTGAACGCTTTCTATGAAAAGTTAAGTAAGATGTTGGTTTGTCATTTGGACTTTTCATATTTCGAAAAAAGTATTTTACAGTATTTGTTATCAAAGTAAAAGCATGGTAAAAGAGTTCTTCTGATAGAAGGAATATGAGAATTGTTTTGAAGAATAATTTTTTGTTGTTGAAAATATAATGCAATACTAGATTAGAGAGAGCCATCTAGGGCCTGTTGTCTGATCAATTTCATTTTTGTAATGAATATTGTTTATATAGCCTCTTTATTTAGAGATTAGAGATAAGTTTGCCTCACAACTTTTAAAATTGCATATACATATCTTTGTTAGTCTCTTTTTTATACAAGACACAATGCTCGCTAACCTTTTGATGCACTGAAAAAATGAGCAACTATTGCCAATATTTTTCATAATACGAAAAGTACAAGTATCTATAGATAAGCTAGCTTTTTATTACCTTTAAACCACTCACTTGGAAAAAGCTGTCCGTATTTCTATAACACCTGTAGTATTACTGGTATCTCCATGTTAGTAAGGACACTTGCTACAAACAAGAAAATTGGATGCATGGATTGAAAAATAATTTTGGACTTATTTTGGTTGTAAATGATGCATATATCAAATTTCTAAAATATTAAGAAATTATAGGCTTTCTATGATGTTCAAATTTCTTTCTTATTTTTTGCCAGCACCCCCCTATGAATCTATACAATTTTTCATCGCTTTATAGCATGTTAAGCTTTATGGGACATCCTTGGACGAAAAAATTAAGTCAACCTTCTTTTTCTTTTTTTATAACTGATCATAAAACTGTATAGCTGAATTACGAGAACAAAAAAAGCATCCTCTAAGAGGGAAAATGTATTAATTTTAAGGATTGTTAGAGTCTCTGGTAGAATAAATAAGAGTATCTGTTAGAAACTGACATTGATATGGGGATTTTAAAAAACCCAATAAATATTTCACGCGTTTGCACACACCGTTGTAGTTATGAGATTACATCTTTCAAAAAATAATAATTCAATGCTTATATTAACATTTTTTTTTAAAAACTCACTACCTTATCTACAAATATGATTTATTTAAGCACGTTGCGCTTGCACAAAGCCAAAATAAAATACATAATCAAAGTTTTAACTTTTTAACCGTTATTTGTCATCAATGTCTTCCTCAGATAAAACCTACAAATAAAAACAGATGTGCCAGACTCTGTGGTGTTTTGGTTTTTTTTGTATGATGTCTTTAAATATGTATGTATTAAGCAATAAAAAATGAATTGAGTTTATTGGGATATATCTTAGTCAAAGTAAGAATGAAAATGAACATCGTTAATAGGTGAAACATGGTCGATTTAATTCAATTTTGAATTGAAGGCCACAGTAATATACTTCTTATCATATAGTGGTTTTCTTAATAAATCCTTCTTCATTAGACAAAATCAGGTATGTTTATAGAGAGATAAAATTAGTTTCCATGGGTATTTCAACAGATTCTTGGAAGACTTGGTTTCCAAAGACTGTATAAATAAAGTCAATGAGGAACCCCAGCATCTTTTTCATGTCAACTTCAGAGTACTTGATTTTTACAAAATTATGATTTGGATAACTAATCACAAGACACGAAAATTCCGGAAAATCCATTTTATTGAAGGCAGTTGTCTGTAATGTCAAAAAGACTGATCTCCAATTTATTGTGACTGATGAAAAATCATACATATTGATGCTATTCATTTGGCAAACTATTTTGTGTTTTCATATTTTCTAAAAGTTCTATTCTAAGGATATCCACATTTGATTAAGACCGTTTTCAGATATATTGTTGCACAGTGCTTTTGAGGTTTCTCTTTCACTGCTGTTACACTGGGGGTGTAGTTGGTCCTAAATCAGCACCTGGCAGGGCCGACAAATTGAATACATATTGAATTTCAAAAATAAGAATTCAATACTTGAATTATACAGATGTTATAAAGAAAACATTTTACATATCGAAAACCTGACAATATATATATTTTTTTATTTTTATAAATGTTTAAAAATAAGATAATTATCACGGGCCACAATGCAATCTTCCATTTTCATATCTTTATTTCTTCAAAATGTGTCTCTCGTATTATGGGTACAGCAGCATTAGGTACTTTAAGTTTTAGAAGGTCTTAAGACTGTCGTAACAAATATCATTTGATTTCTTTTTGAAAACCTGAAGGGTTTGCTTAACTTTACTACTATAAAAACGTAATTCACTTACAAGATCTTTAGGCAATCCCATTTACTTTAACAGTACATTAAATAATGACAATAACAATTTAGGAGTCCTTTATATTATCGCATTTATGTTTTAGAGAGAAATCAATTTAGATATGTAGATGATATACAAATATTTTGTATATATACGAAAATCCTCAACATTCTATTTGCAAGTGGAATTATCAACTAGCATTGGCAAAGAAAGATAACCTTTAAATAATGATTGATATTATGCAAAATAAAATATGGTTGTCATTTTGATTCATGCTGACATTATTATATTTGTAAATATATCTGAAATTAACTTTAATTTATTTGTAAGCTGTATTAACACAATAAATAAGTGTTATAAATTATTGCCATTTTTTTTCCCGGTATTTCGTTGGCTAATCGCTTACCACCCCAATAAATTCATATGATCATTTGGCATAGAGTTTGTTAAAGGTGAATTAAAAAAAAAATGACCGAACACATATTTATCAACCTGCACTGAAAATACAGGCAATGGGAATTAATTTCTATGTCTCAGCATATGTCTTTACATAGTGTCTATATATCTGCCAAATATCTCATTGATATCTCAATTCACAAAAAATTTATGCCCAAAAAATGATGCTAAAAATGTCAGGAGTGCAACACCTTTTTGTGACATTTTGAAAATTCAATATTTTTTGAAGATCTGTGGAAAAAATAATAATGGTTTATGTTGGAAATAAAGACTTTCCTGATAATATTCAAAGTATTGAGCTTTAAATGTAGACGGTGGCAACTTTTGTTTGACCAAGTTGTGGTCATGGCTGATGTTGAAAAAAAATGTTATCCCATGTCAGGAGTGCAACAGAAAAAATGCAATGTTGCCAAAAAAAAAAACCCCATCGATTTAAAAATCTGAAAGACAATTAAGTCAAAAAAGAAAATCACAAGCAGCCTTAATGATAGTCAATTATCTGTGCATACCCAATAATGTCAACATTTGATGTTTTGCTCCCCGGCATGAAAAAAACTTTTATCAGTATTTGATTCTTTGGTTTTTATTTTTGGAAAATAAAGATCATAGAACATTTATACCAAATAGATTTATTAATTACAGGGTCTGTCTGTGTTTCAGATCCGTATTTCTATGGTCAGGAGTGCAACACATTTTTTTAAAGATTCAAGTTATAGGATGAACTGACTTCTATTCATGCTAATAAATATTCTTCAATTAATAATGATCTATTTGAATAATTTAGTACTAAATTATTGACAGTTTTATTATTAAAATCCTTCTCCTTTTCAATTTTATCACTTCAGATATGTTTTTATCTTTTCTT